CAACATTTGTCCTTGATTTTTGCAACAACAAAAAAGCAGAAAATTTTAAAATGCCTGTTATGAAGTCTTTCAAGCAAAACTTTGTTGAGTCCGCAAAAATTTTATGAAACTTTGCCAGTCTGAATAATTTTTTTTGGAAATTTGTTAGTCCAAAAAACATTTTATGGAAATTTGCCAGCACACAGGCCCAAGAAGGTTATGGAACACTGGTCTACATTACACAAGCTTTATTCTGGAGAATTGCTACTCTCTATTTATTCCTTTCTATCTTTACGCAGTGTATATCTTCATTGGGACTTGGATTTGTGCATAAAATTTGTTTTAATCACTTGTTTAGTGCTTTCAGTGTTCATTGTGAATTGCGTCATTTCCTTGCCATCAAATTATGCAATAAATCGTTCTGGAAAAATAAACTAGGAACATATATTCAAGGTGTCCTGTTGAACATTTGCTCTTGGCCACAAACTGGCTGATAGTCTGTTGTTATATGCTTTCCAATGCATCTGTATCATCTGATCTTTTGTAAGGTTCCATTATCACCCAAAAATCCTCATTTCCTCACCCGCAGGCAAGGCTTATTCCTTCAAACAAATGCAAAAATAAACTAGATTTAAATCTGCAGGCCTGCAAGTGGATTGCAGAAAATTTGCAGAATCATAGGCTGAAAATTTCAAGACATCCATGCAGTGAAGATGCAAGGTTAATTGTGTTCAATAATCCCTATGCATGGAAATGACGTTTTTAAATATATTTCAATTAAAATTACAGCACTCATGTTTCTTGTAAAATTATATCTTATACTGCACTCATATGGTAAATAGCTCCACTAAAAATGAACACACCCTAACTTGCTGCATTCACAAGTCGCTACACTTGCTTCCATGCACTTGCCACTGCTACAACTTGCAGACATTTTCTAATGAACAATGATGATGAAAAAATCTTGAGTTCCAGCCTTTTAATGCTGATCTCTTGTATATGGAGAGTTCACTCCTAAATCTCTCTGTCTGTTAAATTTCTTAAACATGAAAAGAAAATGAATCTAGAATTCATAAAAATGAAAAAAATCACATGAAGATTCAGTTTTTTTCCTTGACTCAGGATGTTTCACTGTTAAAAGTTGCTCCAGAATAAGATACTAATTTCATTAGAAGAGGCTTTGATTGTATTGCAAGCAAAACGACACTGCTCAGAAATCCATCAATGTATTATTGTGTCATAAAATTGAATGTCTTTGAATATACAGTATTTTTCCTGGTCAAAAAGATTATGCAAAAATTCCTGGACAGCACAGTCTTTCTTGATACTAATGCATCTTCCTGTGAAGCAAAACAGCTGTCCTTATTACATGGAGAACCAACTCCTAAATCTTTTTTGGAAATCATCCATGCCCTGAAGTCTGTAAACGTTTTTTCTTCAGTTTTTCTGAAAAGGGAATATTTGTTGATTCTTGCAACTACAGTATATACTTGCATGGCACTGCTGGTGATTCCTTACTATGGTGAATTATGACAGTGTATGTGCAGCAACAGGTAATGAGAGCAGGAAGTCAGCAGTGCAGCAGGTATGAGAGCCAGAAATTGTACTGACACACTTGATGGATTTTACATTAAGTTTGTGCTGAGCTTTACATAAAAGAACATACAGAGGGCATGACATATGATTTTTTACCTTCAGCTGGTGTAACAGTGTTGTCCACCAGTTTATCTTTGGTCCTTGGTTATTCAAGAGAACAGCAAGGAAGGCAACACAGTGAAGTAGATCAGCGTTCCTCAACCTGTGGTCTGTGGACTGGTACTGGTCCACAGAAGTTTTTTGCTGGTCCACAGGAAATTTTGAGCGTAATATAGTAAATGCATCAGAAGTTGTGATTATGAAGTGTGTTATTGTTATCTGATGGTTTGGAAAGACAATGGCAGTTGATATTATCTGATTAAAATATATGTTTCCTTTTCCCTTGACAACACTCAAGAAGAATTTTCACCTGCTGAAATAAATTATTTCCAGTTTTCCTTCTGAGAAACCATTTTTAAGCGCAGCTTTCAAATTTTTTGAAGACATTGCACTATAGCTGCTTCACTGGTTCTTAACTTAATTTTTTAAATAAAAGTATATACAGTACTTGGAGAACTTCTTGGGAAGTATTTAAAATTTTTTATGGTGGTCTGCAAAAAGTTCATGGAACACCCCCAGAGCCCCAGTAAATGTTACAGAAATATAAAAATTTAGGAAAATTTGCTGGTCCCGAGGTCCAAAAAGGTATAGGGGAACATTAATGCAGATCATTAACTTTGGGCTTCTTTAGTTGAGCACGCACAGTTGGGCTTTCAAGAATTGAAAACGTTTCGGATTTCAAAAAATCTGCCAAATGCATTATTGTTTGGATGATCACACATTTTTGCATATACATTAACATGTCCACAATGTTACTGAATCTGACAATCTCAGTTATGAATGAAGCACAATTATCCAGCACAAAAGCATTATCTATATAGTGAAGATAGCAAAGCAGATGAGTCGATGCTTTAAAAAAATCGAGATTAAATCTGCACAACTTAAATGCTCAGACTTCTGGTTCAGGACTTGCCAATCATCAGCTTCAGAATATTCATCTTCAGTATACAGTACTGTATATGCGTAATTTGTTGAGGGAAATGCACTATCCATTGTACCATCTTCCATCAGAAAAGGGGAAATTCCCCAACGTTTCGCATCATTCGAAATACAATGATTGCTGGTGAGTGATCACCTGAAATCTTCGAGAGGAAAACATCAGACTTCATTGACTGACAAGATTTTGATTCCTTACTTCTGCATGCTTTCGTAGTGACATTTGGACAATTCTGTCAACCTTTCCAAAAATAGTCATTTGGCTTGTCAGGAATGCTGGGAATTTCAAGGTAGGATTTGCCAGACATATTTTTTTTCTACAGGAATCAGCATACCTTTCTGTTGCACACTTCTGCGTCATGCAGAATAAATAATATCCTTACAAGTAAGACATTGGGACCAGATGCGAGGTTTTTCATAATATTTTTTTGCAAAGAAATTCAAGTAGCATTGTGGCTAATGTCAGGGTCAATAGAGACCTAAAATCAAATTTGTTTGAAGCAATATTTTTATTAGATTTGTTTTAACAATAAGATTCTACAGTGAGACCCCCAGATGCAGACATTGGATTGTCCCCAAGTCAAATCTTGTTTTCCCATAGACTTACATTGTATAATTTTTAATTGGGGTTTTATGGAAGAAATATTCTTCAGAATTGCATGAAAAAAATTGTTGCCACTTGAATTTGATTCAATGAATACCTTTTCAAACCAATAAGAACATTGAATTGTGTACCTCTGTACAGTAAATTGAGAAGTTGTCATCTGGAAAAATAACATCCATGTCACAAAGAGAGCTAGAGGGAAGTACCTCTGTGCTATAGGGCATTTTTTAAATTAGCTGAATGGATGGGAAAAGTACCAAAGAATTTTTCTTGCATAGATCTTAGGTTGGAAACAGATGTTTCTTGCAATTAAGGCTTATAAAAATCAATTTTCATAAAATTTATTTTGGAATTGTATCCTGCAATGTCCCCAGGTTGAGTCAGTTTTGGGTCTTTTTTAGGATTTTTTGTTAAAAAATAAATGTCCCCATGTCAAATTGTCCCCATGTGGGGGTCTCACTGTACTTCATGATGTCAGTTTGGGATGCTTATGGTATGGACTTTTAAAATTAAGGTTCCATGATATTTTGTTAAACTCTGAACTCAGTTTGTGTAAGTAAATTAGGACTCATTCATACAGTCGATGTTCCCAGAGATAACACAAACTTCACATCAGGATTCCATTCAGTTTCTTTCCTAATTGCTCCTTAAGTGAATAGTTCAACGATGTTGCATTGGCTTTTTCATTATATCATCAGGATATCTTTCAGTTCTATTAAATATTTAAATCCACCTCTCAAGCTGATCTGCAATCCCTTCCACAGTTTACACCTTGATATGAAAATCTTGCACACCAGACAGGTGCAAGCATCAGATGAGAACCCCTGTTGTTGCCTAATAATCTTTTAACCTTGATGACAAATTTGTCAGTCTGCAGAAATGTTGCCAATGCATGGAGGACAGGTGGACACCCTAAAACAAAATTTCCTCAACCATCAGCAGCATGCAATACTTTTCTCAATTGGCATAACTTCAATTGTTTATTGCACCATATTTAATCAAGTACCACATGCATCTTTTCTAATTTATGACAAAAACCGAGATGAGCATCTTATTCAGGTACCCATACTCCTGTTGGCAGACAACTTTTTGCGTATGTAATAACATTCTGGAATTACAGGATAACTTATCAAATAAATGCCGAAGACTGCAACAAGTATCCCTTAGAACATTTTAAAACTCAACCATAAAATTTGATTCCTTTCTATTTGGCTTAACTGTAATCTTCGGAATTTTTACCAAACTTTAAATTTGTGTCTATTCTGGATTTTAATATTGTATCAATTGATAAACAAGAACTGGTGTTTATGTCAGGTTAGATTTTTATCCAGGCTTTCCTCTGCAAGATCAATGTGCACAATTCACTCAAGTTTAGAGTAATTGAAGCAAACGATCTACCGCATACGCAGCTCTTCCAAAATGAAATTATGTCCGCAACGTTATCATGTCCACAAAAGATGAGTTTTCGCATGGAAATATGAAATTGTTGCAGCAGGCTTTCTCTGGGGACGGGAACGATCAACAATCACCGTTTCTGATCCCAAAAATGGGAACGAAGTTTACCTGAAGATCAACAATTGACTGTGATCAGCTAAATACAACTGTTATCGACAGATTTGACGATTTCAAGAAAGGCTAAGACTCAACCTTACGTTAAGATGGAGACGATTAAAAGAAACCCCACAGCAACCATCAGCATCAGGATAACGCGCTTCTTCCGTTGACCGGCGTGAATAAACAATTCATGGAATTTATTTAAAAAAAATTAAAAAAAAAGGTAAGCGTCCCCGGAAGGAAATTCTTGGGCTACAGGAATTGAAAAAATGTCCTCGTCAAATCAGTGGGGCTCGCGCATAAACGCATTTTCCTGCCTGAATAAGTCAGTTCCTGGAGGCTTCTTTGACACAATTCCGCCGGGGAAAAAACAAGTCCCCGGGCAGACACAGCAAACAAGTTTATTGCCCCAATTAATTCCGTATTTTTCCACCCAGATGGCAGCGTGGGAAGCCGCAAAAGCTGCCAACATAACGATAATTGATAATCGATGACTTGTTTTGCAAACAACCGCCAGCCCAGATGCGAATCTCCGCATTCCCGTCACTCAAGAGATTATCATCAGCGCCAAAAAACCAGCAGGATTTGTAACAAAGGCTTCTTTGCTTTTATTCCCTTCAAGCACCAGAGTTTCAGATTAGAATCAGATCCTTGTTTGCTCAGCCTCTTGTTCCTCGGCGTCCAGAAGCCAGTCTTTGATCTCTTCCCTGTACATGCTGGTCTGCAGGACAGCCTTCGTGCGCTTCCTGCGGCCCACGAACACCAGGGGGTCCTGCGGGAAAGTGCCGTACTTGGCGATTAGCTCAACTAATTGAAGCCCCCATTCCGATCAGGACTCAATCAGCTACTCACTCCGCTGGCATTGTCCGGGAGACACACTTGCTGCAGCTCTTCCGGCCACACGGACACTTCCACGGATAAAAAGTCCTCATCTGCGAACAAGCATCGACGGACAGAGAATTCATTTCTACTCGACAAATAGACTCTCTCTCTCTCACACTCTCTACAACGAATTTTGCTCTCCCCATGTCACAGAGGTTTCTCTACAACGAAATTCTCTCCACGATATTTTTTTTCTTCTTCTCTGGGCCCTTGGATTTCGTTCAACAGAGAGCACACACAGTACAGTAAAATTCCGTGACAAAGAATTTCATCATAATTTTTTTTTTTAAATAAACTAATTTTTCACCATCATCTCAGTTCAACGAATTTTTACCTTGATCATGTGCTCATGTGGGCCACAGAAATTTTCATTAACAGGCAAAATATGGGAAAACAAAACTTGAGCATAATTAAAAAAAACCTTTAAAAAATAAGAATACTACACTGATCTTCTTGTACAAAAAATTCAGCATTGCAGGAAGTATGAAGCTCAAATCACAATTTATTCAGCTTCACTTCAGAAATTGCAGATTTTTTTTTTTTTAGAAAAAAGTACATTTGGGAGGGTTCTGCTCTACTTCACAAAGCATACAGTTCATAATGAATAATTGATCTTACACACGTCCAGGAACTTTCCAAGCAGTCCAGGAAGGAAAATATTTTTTATTCATAGAAGAAGTTGGTACAATGCGACAGTCTCGAATTCTTGATTGTTTTCAAGAATTTGTTTCTCGCTGATTGTCAGTAATAGAAAATGTAAGATTGTAAAGGAAGTTACTTCAACATTTACAAGTGCATAAAAATTGGTGATGACCATGCGAAGGAGACCTGAAATGAATCTTGAAAACTAAATCACAATCATTCATTGATGCGTGAACATTTTTGTAAAATTTTCATCATGATGATGTCCAGGTGTAGCTGGGCACCTCAACTTGTTTGCACTTGTCAAGTCCGAGCAAATTTTGACGCAGAAAAATCCTTGTGTTTGTGTGAGAGAGAGAAAAATTTCTTGTCAAGCATTGTACAGTAACATCTCGTTACAACAAATTCCCAGGGATCTTGGAAAAATTCGTTACGATGAGATTCATAGTTATTTGAGCATGTCGGAAAACAGGTAAAACACGGTTCAAATTACTGTACTTACATGACAGTTATGCAAGGAATTGCCTGAATTTCATATTTTTTCTCAAGATCAAATGATGGAGAAAATTCAGAATAATGTCAAGCATACAAAAATATGGACGAAGCTTTGATAGTTCGGCAAAACTTTTCGAGAAATTATTCTCATTGAGTTTCTTCGACTTCCTAATTGCCGAAGATCAAGAGGTTGTAAAATCAAGCAATGAACTAAGTTTTGGATAATTCAGACTTTTTGAGGATATTTTTCAATAAAAGAAAACTCCAAATTCAACTCCACTCTTTTTTTTTTTTCTTCCCAAGTTTTGAACATAACTTCAAAAATTACATCACGCTTCTGTGCAATCAAGAACCTCGCCCACACGAAGATTATTCACGTGAAAGTACGTTTACCGTACACGAATTCTGCTCGAATTCATGCAAGCTATCATATTCTGTACGATTTACACGAATCGACTGTCTTGTAATTACTGTACATTAGTTCATGCGGATGATGTTGCACGTACAGTACATTACAGTACTTGAGAGCAGAAGGTTTGATAGGAACATTAACTGCAGCGCATTTTTATTACGTCATTCCTTCAACAAATATGTTGAAACACAATATTTGACAAGATATTTCTCCCCCTCTCTCTCACACACATACGATATTTCAACTTCAGAACTTATCAGTACCAGCCTGCGCAACAATATTAGAGCCAACGACGTACGGCAGTTTCAATTTGGTACTGTATATTGTATTACAGTACAGTACTGTACGACAATCCGAGCATCGAAGTCATCCCTTTTCCCCCATTGACAATGAACTACTGTACAGTTTACCCCAACTCTCTTCCCGCGAATAAAATGAAAGAAGAGAGGTTTATTGTTATCTCTAGTTCTTCACTTCAAAATACAGTGTGGCCCCGAGATTCGGACGCAATCCGTGCAGGGACCTTGTCTGTGTGTCGGAACGTCCACACGTCGGATCAAGTGTTCCTTCAGACTTCACCGAGAATATATTCAATGGGTTCTCCTCGTTCAAAAAAAATAGGTAGAATTTTTGAACAAAGCTGTGCACAGATGACGGAAATACAGTAACTCTGAATAACATAATCACACAATTAGCCTACTTCAGATTATGAATTACAGTGAGACCCCAACATGCGGACAATTCAACATAGGGACACTTATTTTCTCTTGAAAAATTGATAAAGAAGGCCCAACATGAGGACACTGACTCGACATAGGTACATTTTGCTATAAAATTGCAAATGCATTTCAGGCCAAATTTCAAGAAACAGATATTCCCAACCCTAAAATTGATGGAAAGAAAAGTTCTTGGGCATTTCTCTCCCCAATTTACCATCAATTTAGCTAATTAAAAAATACCTCCAGCAGAGAGGGACTTCCTTCTCTCTTTTTCACTTGAATATTATTTTTAATAATTTTAAAGCCAATATTTCTTTGTCCTGTACAGAGGTATCAGTATTATTCCCTAAATGCCCATATTGTGTTGAAATATATAGATTGGAATCAGTTTAAATTGGGAGACAATTTTATTTTCAAGGAATGATGGTCTTTTGTACATGAAACACCAATTAAAAATTATATAATGTAAGTCTAAGGGAAAATGAGACTCGACTTAGGGAAATTTTGACTTGGGGACACTCTTGATGCACAAATTACGTCCGCATCTCGGGGTCTCACTGTATAATGAATTTATGAAGCTTATTTTTACAATTTGTGAATTTAAAAATAAACCCAGTTCGCCCAATAGCTATCCAAATTTTTGTAAAATATGAATTTTCAAATTTGTCTAGAAAATTTGGTCAGGTTTCGGTATCTCGAGACATCTTCCAGACGTGGGAGCAGATTTCTCGAGTTTCAAGAGTCCTCAAGTCGAATCGTCCGCCTTTCGGGGCCCCAGGGTAATTTTCCGCTTTCCGTTAGATCAGAGAACTTGAAAAAAAAAAATCTATTATCTTGAGAATGCGCACGTTTTCTTTGGTACATAGGCCACATTCTACCTTCGAGATTTTCATTTTCTCCCCAGAACGCCCGCCCGAAATCTGGGTGTGGTCTGTATCGCAACAACGACGTACTGCATTCGAAGGTACTCCACAATTCGCATAGAAAAATGTGCTTCCGAGTCCCGAATGAGAGAATCCAAAGATCTCGTCTTACGCTTTCTCCAAGAATCGGAACTTCGGGAAGTTTCGACCAACAATACGCCATATCGCATAAATTTAGCACCTTCCGAAAAGGCCAGTTGTTGCAAAGTTTTCGTTGCCAAGAACCGGCAGAATGCTGATGCACGCAGAACCGAAGAGCTGCGTCATTTTCATGCATGAATGAATCAGAACAATGCTCATTTGACCTTTCTTGACAGTGCGTGCATCAGCAAATCGGAATAAACATCGAACTTTTCACCGAAAGAAGAATAATGACCTGTCTAGCGCTGTTCCCGTACACGAAAGATACAGTTGATCCTGGATAATTCGAACCTCCCCAAGTCGAATTTTGCTCAAGTTCTTGTCTGAATTCCTCCGGAAACAATGCATAAAAAATCCAAAGGCATTCCTCCTGAAACATCCGAAATTCGAATTTTCTGGAGACCTCTCGACTATTGTTTTACTGACACAATAAAGAAAAAAGCAATACGAATATAACCATGTACAGTACTGTACTCTGAAAGGTAGTTTAAGTCTCATAAGGCAATGAACCCTTGCCTCCAAGTTCAGCATTCATTCAAAAAGCAATTCAAAGCCCAGAATATCACCACTAACAATTTTCTGAATTTATTCTTTCGGTACTTTCCTGTTATCTCTGTACCTTCCCTCTGACCAAAACATAACCTGACCTAACCTAACTGCCTCCCAAAATCAGTTTCAGCAGAATGCGGAAAAATAAAATTACACAGTTTCTGGTAGGTCGTCGTGATTACGAAATCGTCCTAAAGATTTGTCTGGATGGTAGTGCGGTATAGGAATGAGGTACAGAGATAACAGGAAAGTACCCTTCTTTCTTTCCTGGAACAAAAATGGGTCTCCCTAACTCCATTATTTTGCTGGCCCCGCGAATTTCGACTGCACAACTTTTCGGGAATCAGAACATTTAGTGATAGAACCTAGTTTCCAGCTTCGATACAAAATTTTCACTCACGGGATGACAAAATGTTTCATCAGCAAATCATGCCTTGTTGTAAACTTTGCGTTGAATTCTTGCGAAAAAAAATACACCGTGCTTCAGTGACATTTGAAGACGACGTACCGTCTTAAGATCTTCGGTCGCCTGACTCGTGAAGGTACTACATGTAGGATACCCTACACTGGTACTTGCCATCTAACGTTCAGAAAGGGTTCGAGGCAACCGAAGGATACTTAATCTCCTGAATATTTTTAAAACAAAAGCAATAAAATTAATACAGTGGGCCCCCATCTTACGTCATCAATCCGTTCCAGGATGGACGTCATAACATGGGGCCGTCATAAGTTGAAACCCTATTTCCCTTAAGGTTACATTATAAAAAAATTAATTCGTTCCAGAAAAAAAATATTAAACTAAAAATTACCTTTATTTTTCAACTTTTTGTCAGAAATTGCATTAATAGACACAAGGCATGTTTGAAAGACTGTAATTTTTGCCAAAGGTCCAATATCATCAGTTATTTACTCACTGCAAACATTCTACCAACAGAAGTTATTTAAGGCAGCCATGACATAATTTCCAGACCCGTCAGAATTTCTTAGGGGTGCAATCATTAAAACAGATTTCCAGGGAAACAGCAAAGAAAATGTTGTTACAACCAGAACATTAATAACGGAATCAGATTTTTAAAATCATAAATTTATTTCCTCAGCTCAAATTTTTTTCTGGCCACATTCAAACATTGTAAAGAAAAAAAATCACATAGCTCCCCATCAGAAATATTTGTCTTGCCATAAACAGCAAAATTTTCATAATGCAATTTCTCCACCCAGATGTTCTTTTTTGAGGTAATCTGTGATATTATTTTCGATAATTCTTTGGACTTTGGATACAGATTCAATTTAAAAATCATGGCTTGCCCAACATTAGCACAACAAAATCAGCAAGCACCGCCAACAGACAACCTTTTCTCGTCAGCTGCTCATCTTCACAAGGTTTTCTTGGCTGAGCAGAATATTGCGGAATTCCTCAATCAAAGCTGGCTCAAGTAAAATTTTTGCAGTGCACCAAAATAAGTTGGCAAAGAACTGAAGATAATATTACCCAAAGCTTGTGCAGAAAATGGATAGAAAAAAATCATCCTCAATAACCATAAGTGACTTAGGCAATATTTTCCCCGATTTATATAGCACAAAAATTCCAAATCAAATATTTTCCGCAGTATTTTCATTTTCTTTCTCTTTCTAAATGAATTTAATTTCTCAGAATTACTGAAAAAAATATTCCACCTCAAAGCATTTTCCTCAGAAGCTGTCGTATCATGAAACCCCGACGTAAGTCGGGGGTTTTTTAATACATGAAAAAGCGTCGTAACTTGAAACCGACGTAACATGGGTCCGTCGTAAGTCGGGGGCCCACTGTACGTGCATTATCATCTATCGTTTTCTTACATATTTCCGAATTAAAGTTCAGGAAAATTTTCAACAAGCCCTTTGATCAAGAAAACGGGAATTAATTAAAACCATGTTTTTTCATGGCGGTTGTCGGCAGCATTTAAAACTTTCCGGATAAAAAAAAAATCAAGCTTACAAAGAAGGAAACAATTTTGGTCTGGCTCACTTCTTCCAAGTCCATCCCTTTTCTTCACAAAAGCTCTCACATGGCGTAGTTTACAATAGCATTTTTCGAGAAAGTTTTGATCGTTTGTCTGCCTCACGAAATGTGATTCGGGATCTTGCAAATGATTCCTCCTTGAAACGATGAAAATAGCATTGAAAGGGCGGCCATTATAAAAAAAGACAAATCAACTCAGTACCACAGAGAACACAGCGATGAAAATAAAAAGAAAAAATGACTTGTAAGAAGAATGGGGTGAATTGTTAATCTGAAATAGTCAAGTACTGTACAAGGGTTCAAGTGTACGCTGAAATCTAGGGAGTTCCGCCGTTTTCCAATCCGCGTAAGATATTTTTCCGTCTATGATCCTTCATGAAGTGGCAGATCGAATCACTGTAAAATCTAGATGATTTAAATCCCATTCGCATATTGAAAGCTTCATAAGATTTGTAACGTACATCCAAATGACAACTCATTATTTTGTAAATGAGTTCAAAGAAGGATGAAAGAAACAGAACATTTCCTTATAGATTGCGAGGCACATCACTGGATATATGCACAGTTGAACCTCGAAAAATTAAATCTCCGCAAGTCAAAAATCTCATGTCGCGGTTTTTTTCCTGTCTGAATTTCCTCAGGAACATTGGTATCTATTCTAGACCTCCTTAACTTCAAGACTTTCCCCTCAAACCCCCATACAAATTAGCATTTTCATGGTTTCGTGCTATTATCTTTTGGACGAAGTAAATGGAAGAGCAATACAACTTTACCTTGAGTAGATTCTTTAAAAATCAAGTGATTGACAATAGGACAATTGCGCCATTGTTTTAAATATAAGCCACCTACAATCTCATTCATCCAGCAGTTTGAGCGCCAGAAGATCAAACATTTCAAGGTCCTGTAATTGTTGCGACGCTTTTATGTACAAAAAGGCTGGTTTTTTCTAACTTGAAAACACCGTCCAAATTCGTGTGCTGTACCTTTAGAGTTCGACTTAAAAAAGGTGCCAAGGGTTTAAACATTATACCAATTCCCAAAATCAACTTTTTTTTAAAACAGAAAAGTAAGAAATGTTACCAGGGCGACTTCCAAAAATACTCCTTCCTCAATCTTTTACTAATGCGTCAATGTATAGTGTGCATTTTTTGGACAGTTGAATCTCCAAAAAATATTTTCCGTTCCTTGAACAACAGAACATGGAAAGAAGATCAAGAAAAAAAAAGGTCTCAACTCACCTTTGAGTATTGGTTGAGGATTGTGCCTGGAGACCTCGGCAGCCCTGACCTTCTTCTCGTATTGAATCCTGAACAAAAATGCCTCCAGAATAACTGACACGATGATGGTGAGCACGATCAGCGTCACAACGTAGAAGGACATGAAGTACAACCGCGTCCATTCACTTCCCGTAGCAACGGTGAACCCGATCATGATCACAAACCAATTATTCACTACAGTGAGCTCAAAAAGCGTCACTCCACTTCTGAACAGGTCCTCAAAATTGTTCAAGAAATAATCTCCAGAAAACGGAATACCCGTGGTGTTGGCATTATACACGAAATAGTCTTGGACGGACGTGTTCCTGAAAAAAAAGTGAAGAAAGAAGCTGAAAATAATAATTCTGCAACAGTTGAACTTCAAGGGATCAGCAGAAAAATTTGAGAGAGGGACATTTTGAGTTAGGGAAAGAAAGAATTGCAGGAAATTGTAATTGGTAATATTCTGTGCCTTGAATCGCTTTTTGAATGAGTTGACAGGATGCTGACCTTGGAGACAAAGGTTCACTGGTCCATTTGGTCTTTCCCTTCCTTGCAAAACTCATGGTTGCATTTTTTTTGCTTTTCTCTTCCTTGTGTCAATAAAATTATAGCCAAAATACCTCCAGAAATTCGACTTACAGAGGTTTGATTTCAAAGAGAATTCTCTTTGAATACATTAGTTGGTGCATCACCAGAGTACCTTCTCTTCTTATGTCCAGCATTTCATATGGATAGAAATCAGCTTAAGAAAGATTTAGAAGTACTGAAATTCAATGAAGAGACACTTTCTGAAATCTTAAAGGATCAAGATATTGTGCTTTAAATAAACTTTTATTGATATTTTATTTTCAATGTCAGGAAATGAGTGGGTGTATGCATACATGTCAGATGTCCAGTTTTATTTTGTAGATTGTATTTTCTTTTATTTTTGTCATCAACTTGTGCTTTGTTTCCTGCTTTGAAGTGATCCAATGTCTTTGAGGGGATTTGGGTTGGGTGGGGAGGGGGTTTGGATGTGGACATTTTGATTGTACCTTGTGAATGCTGAAAAGCGGCAAATATTCTGTTCATTCATTCATTCAAGAGAATTCAGGGAGGGATTTGAAAAGAATTCAACACATGGAGGTTCGACTTATTGAGGGTTCATCAATCAGAGAAGCCACACTCACTTGCAGCAGTTTCTCAGATCAATCTCGCTGAACAATTCCATGCCTGCCACAGCAAAAAAGTAATACACTATCAGGAGCACTATGGCTGCAGAGGCCATCCTCGGCAACACTATTACAAGAGCTAAAAGAGACAAGAGGTCAATATTCACTTCCGGTAATCGATCACACGATGATCCGCAATTCCTCACCCGAGAAGACATCCCGGTACCGACGCTTGAGCTTGAATAGTCGCAGCAGCCGCATCGGTCTCAGAATGAGTACGAAGACAAACGGGGCATCCAGGAATGCTTCTGCACAAGCACCAAGAATGGCTGACACTGTTACAGCAAAGTCATACGTGTTCCAGCCCGATCTAAAATACCCCGTAACCCCGAGTCCTAGCAACTTCAGAACAGCCTCCAGCGCGTACACTGCAAAAGAGCCAGGAAGCATTCAATAGATAGACGACCCTCCTACGCAACAGTGTCCCAATATTTTCAAAGCAGTAGACCACTTGGCACAAAACTCCTCATCCAGATCTTTTCACTGGAATGCCAGACTTTTCCCTCCAAGCTAAAACACAAGAGAAACCTCGTTGGCGACACAGATCAAGTTCGATCTTTATTCAACATTTCCTTGAAATGTGCAGTTTAACGAAAACAAAATTTTACTTGCTCAAAAGCTCGTGTCTTCGTTTTGCAGCATTCGATCACTACGTTCATCAATTTTCAACACGGGGCAAATTGATTAAATCGGTCATTCCTAGCGATCAGCATTAAGGATATTCCCTGATTAACTTTCAAATCACTTCTCCACCAACTTCATGACGCTGAAACTGCCAAATTCCAGGGATTAGTATTTGAGTTAAATTATTGCATTTACAGTATTCGAGTACTAACCGCCCTGAATTAAGACACGCACCAGGGGCTTTCATTGAAAAAGTTTTGATGAAATCGTATTCCCGAGTAAGACATGCACCTCATTTTTAGCGACTCTAAAACTGCAATATTTGAAAACATAAGAACACCCAAATTTTAATTCATACATGAATTGAACCTAAATTCAACTAATTTTCAACTGCTTCCATTGCAATTAGTTTTTCAAAGTTTTGCAATTAGTTAACCTTCTAAACCGTTTAAAAAATGTAAACCCTCCTTCGACGTGCGCCTCCATTTTTTCCTCTTAATTTTGAGAAGAAAGATGCGCGTGGTACTCGAGTAAATGAGGTATTACTTATGAGGAATACAATTTTCTCGCGCAAAACGCAAATATTTTCATTCCACTCGACATTAATCAATTTTTTCGAAGTTATAAGGAAAACTAATTCAAATAAAGTACAGTATTAGCTTTTTCGTATTTTACGGCATCCGAAGCATTTCAGTGAAAAGAACTGCGGACTCTTGAAAACGGTGTGCATCTTTACACGGTACGCAGAAAAAACTACAGAGATATGGTACCACAGTAGGCCAACAAACGAGAATTGGAAGATCCTCTCTTCCAGAACACAGATGGGCTTCAGAGCCCGAAAAGGACACCCCCAAGCCAACAAGCACTTCCCTCAGGCGCAAAATAGATCCCCTAATGGACACTCCGCAAAACTTTTCGACCAAGAACACGTTATGAGAGTTCCCCTTGACTATTGAGCACTCGGTCCGATGGAAACCCGAATCAAAACTGACCCATTCGCAGAAAGCCGAATAAGAAGCACTACTCCGATAACTGCAAGAAAAAGCATCAGCTACGTCAACGCTTCGCCAAGCAGGCAAAGTGGCAACAAATTCGAGATTCGAACCCCTTCTGGCTCACGAATGTGGCGCAACACCGTCTAAATTTCACTTGTTTGACCGAAAACGAGGTCCCGGTTTTCGTACGATCCAATAGACATCACTCTAAAATATTGAACCGCAGTTCAGATGCGACGCACTGTATCACAATTCACAGAATAGAAAATTTTCATCAATGGTGAGAAACTGCAGCCACGAAGAACCATATTTTCCATCGTGAGGAACTACAGTAAAATCTGTTTACGACAAACTCCCACGGACCTGAGAAAAATTCCTGATAACGACATTCATGGTATTTTGAGCATGTAGGGCACCAGTTTTGTGGAAAATACTTTATAAATTAGTTGATTCAAAGGAGCTTCCACAACAGATATGTGCCCAAATTTCAAGCTTCTTTTGACGAACTAATGGAGAAAATTCAAAATGTGAAAAACAATTCTCTTATTGGAGAACTTCAATTTCTGGGATTTCTAAAAATGTACCATCTTCTTGAAGTAAGAGCTGGAAACAAATAGAAAATATAAGTGTAAGAAAAACATTTACGGTATTCATTAAAAAACTGTGTGTACCCTGAAATAGAGCAATATCCTTCCAAATATACTTTTCTTTCAAAAAATTTGCCATTTCTAGGTTCTAAAGTGAAGGAAAATAAATTTTGATTTGAGCTTCACACTTCCTGCAATGCTAAATTTTCTGCACAAAAAGATGGGTACAGCATTTATACTGTATTCTTTTAAGGTTTTTTAATTATGCACAAGTTGGGTTTCGCCATATTGTGCCAAAGAGTAAAAATTGCTATGTCTCATGCACGCATGATCAAGGCAAAAATTCGTGATACTGAGATTACAGAGGAAATTTGGTTTTTTATAACGAAATTTTTATAACATTGTACCTAGGAAAAATACTGCAAAGACCACGCACAAAATTCGCTAGAACGAGATTAGTTGTAAAGGGATTTCATAGTTCACGCGCCAACACGTGAACCTTACAGTTCACCTTCCGTATTTTCTGACGCAATCCTTCACTTTTAAGCGCACAAGACGTTCACGCTTTTAGCGCTTATTCAGCGAATTTATGTCAACAAAGCCGCTTGCTGCCGAGCTAGCACCGTACCACGTAGGTATCAATCAGACAGGAGGAACATTTCTCAATTGATAGACAAGACATGGTGAATAAAGCCACGCCAGGACATCCAAAAAAATCCAACTCACATCCCACAAACACGTAGATATCCCAAGTTCCTTTCAAATCCTTTCCTTGGATTTGAGGGTCATTCGATATCTCAATGGCCCTCATAATCATGACAGCACCGTTCGCAAAAATTATCCCATCTGGAAAGTTAAACGCTCGTCAGATCATCAGGTTCTTCCAGTTTCAGAATCATTGCCCACTTACAAACAGCACCCCGGAAACCCTTCCATTGCACAAACTTTGTGTTCAGCTGAAAGATGAACGGCAACGGCTTCCTCAGGTTACTGTACCAAGGAAGTGGTTCCTGCTTAGGTTTCCACTCGAACGCAGAGAGGTTGTAGATAGAATAGAACTTATCCAACGTCAGCAATCCAGGTTCTCTGCTAGGGATCGGAGTCAAGCACGTAGACACCCCCAAAGAACACTGCTGGTGAGTCTGTGCCTTGAAGACCAGGTATCTCTCCAACATACCTGCAAAACGAACAGTCCATTCGATTCCAAAAATGATACCGTGCTATCATGAATCACGTCAACCTTGCAATTCCATTGTGGTTTTCCATGAATGGACATGGGAAAGAATTCTCACGGGTGTACGGCATTCGTTCATTCCCTGTCCGAAGCCCTGAATTTGTAGCCCCCACGTTTAAATGAGTGAATCCACTTCATGAGAGGAAAAACGGCAGGGCTTACCTTACAAAGGCACTTTTTTTTTATGAATTCGGAGGCAGTCCAAGTGCTACAAAATACTTTCAACATTAAAAAAAAATTTCTCAGGGACTGTGTGCAATTGAAAGAAATTTGGAATATTTGGGCTGATGCTGAATGTGAAGTTTGCCCAACATTTACAATCGTAAAGAAGGAAGTGCACAATGTACGTCTACATCTGACGATTCTAATTAACAAAAGCTGTCTTCAGGCCTGATAACACTTTCAAGCCATCCCCCTAAACAAGTTTCCATTTACAGAGATCTTCAAAATAATGAATATTCTTCTTCAGAAGACCGGAAATAGTTTTCTTTTGACTGTGGTAGTTGTTTCTCCAATCAGCACCAAGATTAACCAAGAAATAAACACAAAGAAGTGGAGTCTCACGATTCCTTCGGAAAATAACAAGGGAAAGCGATCACCAATAGCAAGGAGGACGTGGATCCAATATGATTCGGGGTACCCACAAAGCACAAGATAATAATCCTCTGCAGTACTTACTCATGTTCGGCTTGAAGTACTTCAGCAGTCCTTCGAAATGCTTAAATGTGATATGATCGGGATTTTTCTTCGAAACCAAGAGCCTGAAGGCTCTTTGACAAGCTTTCCTTTTGTGGAGAAGCAAGTTTCTGAACTTGTCTTTTTCTATCTGCCAAAACGACGCGTACACCACTGCCAACATCTGCGAAGAACACCTTTAGAAGTTGATTCAGGAAACCTTAAGAATGGAAACACACCAAGTTCATCAAGATGTAGAGTTCAATGGCCAAATAGGTTATGAAGAACGTTGAGGCCCATCGACTTTGCGAATATGACGGCATCATCACATCTGGAAAACTGAAACGCCCAGTTGACCCGATCAAAAATGCTACGCTTCTCTTCTTCTTAACTTTTTCTTTTTTAAGCTGGAAACATCAATGATTCGGTAACGTTTTTAAAATTACGTGATCTTACGCAAGGCAACATTATTCTACTTCATAAATCAATGGAACTACCTTCCGCTGAAGATGCTCAACACTGTTCACGGGTCCAGTATTAAGTGCAATATAGGTGGAATACAACGAAATTCTGGGGACGATGAAAAAAATTCGTTACAATGAAACCCGTATATGATGGGTGGAGAATCCCTATAGGACCACGAAAAAAATTTCGAGACAGAAAAAATCTTTGTAGAGAGTCTATCTGTAGTACAGTAGTTCTATTCCGCAATAAAATCTCAGAAGAACGGTTTTCCATAATATGTCTGATTAACTTGAAACAGTTTAAAAAACTTGATTTGATGAAAAGAAAAAACGAATGACTTATCACGAACAGTTCAAAAAACTTAATTTGATGAAAAAAACGAATGACTTATCACAAATTCTCCATTTGGACAGCCTTGAGAGAAATAGTACACTAGGATTGAATAGGTCACACTTTCAGAGAAAGAATTGTCCTATTATATAGTTTATTATTGAAGTTTCCAAAAAGAACACTAAGGCTTATTATCAAAGGGGGAATACAGTACAGTACTTCACATGAATGCTGTCCAAGAGCCACATCGCAGAGGTGGAGTCTTCGCAGGCCAAAATAGATGATGATTATTTTTTAGTTTCCAAACTTCCTTTTAAATGAAAATTTTCGAATTGAATTCAGGGCTATGCTTTGAATCACGAACGTAGTCTCGTAGAAAATTTGAAGGGCGGATCACTTTCAAACCATATTTGCGCAGTGTTGGCTGCCGCCTTGAAAATTATATGGGAGGGACTGCGGTATGGATGAAGAGTCTCTCTGCGAAACAAATGTGGCCCGCGGGCCGTGTGTTGGACAGCACTGCTTCATACGGAGATTTCAAAATAACTGAATGAACGAAAGGCACTCACTTGGCAGTCGTAAGTAAAACGAACAGACTAACAAAGCTGCTGAAGAGAGTCCGAAAGTAAGGGTCTCTCGGATTGTCGCTGAATAGGAAGAAGCCCAGGATGCTGAAAATCACCATGAAGAAGAACAACAGCCCAAGCATATCCAGAATCGGTGGCAGAGACTGGAGTATCTGGCGGATGAATCTGAACCACAACATGGAATCCATCACAAGATGACAGACTTTCACACCAACCTCCGCACCCCACGTGAGTAATGGTTGTCGATGAGGAAGATGGGTCTGAGTGCCCTCATGACTCTGAAGTGGGAAGACTGACGTATGAGTATGACCACGGACTCCACAGTCATGATTATGAGAATGCAGGCCTTGATCATGGACCTTTTATGGCACACAAAAGTCCTCACTCCTTGCCATCTGATCTTCATGAAGGTCTCAAACCCGACGATCACCAACCCAACAGCTTCCACAGAAGCATGAACCCCAAGAGGTACCTTCAAAGTATAAAACGTTTCATTTCCTTCCGATCATGCCGTATCGAGTTCTGAGAACCAACCTGGAAGGATGCATAAGCTGGCTTTTCGACAATCGCTAAACTGAGGAGCAACAACGCAGAGGTGAGTTCCAAAGTGTAGAACCACCTATTGTGCACCACTAAATACGCTGGAAGTGCAGCCTGATTCCGCGGATGGGAAGTGAACTTGACATTGTTGGCACCTTCCTACAAACCCAAACCAAAGGTACGCTAAAAAAAAAGAGTGGACGAAGACCGAGCACGACATACATCCAAGAAAATGGACGCCTCGTGATAATTCATCTGCCATTTCCAAAGGATCTCTTTCTTCTTTTGGTACGAGATGTCTTCCTGAACAAAGCTTGAGTTTGATACTTGATGCGTCGGACTCCAGTCGAAGTCACAAGGATGGTCTGGAAGAGAACTGACCCCGGTGTCCCCGAGTTCATTGGGGCCATCAGATTCCGAGTCTGCGGACACCACGAAAACGTGAAAAGCTTTCACAGAAGCTCTCAAACGCGCTAAAATACTCACAAACGCTGAAGGTCCTTGTTGGAGGGCGATATGCCCTCCTGATACTTGGGTTAGGTTCTGGTACAAAATCGTCTTCAAAAGCGAGCACATCTTCCATTGTCACATTCCCCTACGGAAAATGACTGCGGTATAGGTATATTAGATTGCATTTTTCGAAGAAAATTCCGAAAAAAACCCTGCCTTTGCGTTCAGTCCCTCTCTACTTCGTACATCTATACATGCTCATCAAATAAATTATTGTACGCTATGTGGCGTGATTCTTTCAGCGACGCACTGGAAGTGCGTTTCGGAGAAAGGTGAACTCATAGACAGGCTGTTTTCGAAGGAAACATCGGAGAGCTGGAGGTAAAGACAATGAATGCGTCCATTTATTATACCATTATCCATCGCCCAGCTAGAACTCACGTCAACGCCGTATTTACACAGTGAAGCCAGAACAGAAACTTCGTCAAGGATCGAAACCGATCACAGCGCGGGGACCAAAAAAAAAAAGTCCAACGGCAAGAAAGTATTTGACACACGATTCTGCAAATGCGAACCGAGATTCCGGGAGGCGTCCAAGGTTACTTCAGAAGGAGGAGGAAAATAAAAGCGTACTATCACAGGTTACAACGGAACACCTCGAGCCTGTCTACCAACCAAAATCCGCGCTTTTCTTTCTTAATACCAGGGAAAGTCCACCAAGTTCTCAAAACACCTCCTTCAGCCCACCGTCCCACCACGAACCTTGACGCCTCATCAACACAGTTCAATAACTCCGGATCAAATGTTTAAACGACGCAAAAGGGACACTTGGTACAGTTTTCTGAATGATCCAGCAACTCGATGTTGCTTCACCGTAGGAAACTCCCCATTGACTCTTACACGGAACTAAATATGAATGAATGGAAGAGACCAGCAGCGGGCGGTCGACAAACTCCAGACACTTGCTGATGACCAAAGTGCGAACCAAAACGTCTTCGGCTGTCCTCACTCCAGGGGAAAACCTGAACTGAGGCAACTGTGTAATTTCGTGTGATGGGAGAAGTTGCTGAACAGGTCAATGAGACTAGGTGACCTTCACTTGACAACCACTTGACATAGGGGAAAGCGGAAGCAGAAGTGTGCGGGGTAACTTTACATGGGGGAAGGGGAGTGTCTTTACACGGGCTCACAGGCTGGTTGGCCCGCCCATGGAGGACATGGAGTGAGAATGGGCCAGGCTGAGGGTAGACCCGACCCCGTCCGAGCCGTCATCCCTGTCTTGAAACTCCAGAGATGGCTCCAAGAGGACGTGAGTCGGGAATCCACGCTGCGTGGATTCTGCATCAAAGTCCTCCAAGTCCTTGCGCTGGCGCTCTCCAAGAAGCCGCTCACGCTCTAGGCGCTCTTGGGCAAATTGGCTCCTTTCTTCTGCCATCTGTTGAGGAATCGGCATTAGAATCAATCCTGAAAGCGGACAAACAAAAGACTAGCCTTTTGCTTCAGAAGGTCCAGCCTGACAGACACCCTATCCTTCAGGTCCTGCAACTCCCGGTTCTTTTGGCTCTCGAAAGCCATCCTGTTCCTGCTCTGGTAAGCAGTGAGAAGCTCCTTCTCCCTCTCCAGTTGCTCACTCAATTGCCTAAAGGCAACTTCCTGAGTCTCATCCAGCCTCAGACTCTGCTTCTGCAGCATCTCAGCAATACTCTGCTCATACTGTTCACCAAGTGCTGCCAGCTTCCTGATCCTCTCTTCCTTCAGGGCGCTGATGACTGCCTTCTGCTTTTCGCGGGGGACAGTGGCCAGGTACTGGGCTTTGAGGGCCTTGTACTGCTTTGTCTGGATTTTGCAGGTTTCCCTGAACTGCTTCCTGATCTGCAGTTCTTTCTGCTTCAGCCATTTGGGATGTTGCTTGGCCTGATTGAAACAATTATAGTGAGTTTTTTTCAAAGAGATCAATCACAAAATAGGCAAATTTACTGTACCTGCAAAGCGTGCTTTTTCTTCATCTCTCGGGTAGCACGGTACATGTACTCATCCTGGTTGTCCAGCTCAGTCCTGTGCTGCTTCCTCAGGTGATCTTCTTTGAGGCAATGCACAGCCCTCTGTTGCTTCTGCTCCAACTCCCTGGTAGCATCATGGTGCCTGAGCAGCATCTCGTGGGCTGCTTCCAGCTGGGCTTCACGCTTGCTCAGCTCTTCCCGCAGAAGCTCCTGTTCCAGCCTTTGCAATGACAAAAGCTTCCTGCGTCTGAACCTGATCGGTAGAATAAAAAACGATAGTAAAAGTCAACACGTTGTCTCAAGTACAAACCACGACGCCTGAAAATACGACGGTTGGCGTAAGTTTTGACACTCGAGTGTTTCCCTGGTTGGACGAGTGGGAATAAACGTACGGGAAATATACACTTGGCAATATTGGTCCGTCTTCTGGCATTATCTGAATGCTTTCTCATTCAGGTTGGAATGGAGGGAAGACGAAGATTCGGAAGGGCTTAAATCGGTTTACTCGCTAAACATTCACGCATCATGACAAGATTGTCGTCAGATGGCAACTTAATGCTTCAAACGTTCGAAAAAGTACCAATTTCTGCAATTATTGTCTTATTGAATGTGCAGGTTGCTCAAAATTGACATCGGTGAGTAAGAATTGGCCCACGTCATGGCTGCAATTGAAACATACGATATCCAAGGAAAATAAACGAAGCATTGATTCAAGTCTTATTTATCACGTAGCGGTTCGAAGAGAATTCTGTCTCGGAAAATGGGGCACCCGAAGAACGTCATCTCAGCGTGATGAACCATTCGTCATGTCTCCGAGAGATATTGCCGTGAGAGATACGAGGCTTTTCTTTGGACCTTCCGCGGTATTCACCTTCTGGTCTCCAGTTCCAAGTAGTGCTGGTGATTGACAGAAAGCCTGTCCTCATTGGCGGCATCCATTTGCTTCAAGTTGTCCTTGTGGCCCTGCAACGTTTGTTCTTTCTGTCTTCGTGGTGTGGACTCATCAGCATACACCTCCCGGCGCCATTTTTCTTTCATCTGCTTGTACTCTCTCCTGGCCTGGGTCACGAAGGTCTTCTTCTCCTGATCATGCCTGGTGCTTATGTCCCTCTGCAACCGCTTCTCCTCGACCAAGTTCACCTTGTTCTGAAAATCGACACTTCATCAACATCTGCATAGAATATCTTTCGCAATGTAGGGAAGCAAGCGGATTTTTCCGTGCACGTTTTTCGTTTGGGTCACCCTGCCTTTTGCACACTATTCTGCATTCAAGGAGTTCGGAGACCCATCTAGTTGAAGAGGAGTCTGAACCCAGCGGTGCTAAATGGGCAAAATTGCGTTTTTCAACCGAAAACTTTTCGAATAGCTGTATACTCTTGAAAACATGCTTTTCTTTTGGGCAAAAGCAAGTTTTTTTTTCGCGAACGAAGCTACGGCGACATTTTCTTACAGCAGTATCGAGAAAGGTTTCGGAGGAACGAAACTGTACCCAGAATAAAATCGATCTGGGAGAACACTGCGTTCTGGTGATTAACGCTGGCGTACGTTACGACGGTAAAAATTCAACCTAGGGTCGCACCAGTAACTTGTAGATCGTAAAAAATATCAATGCTTTTCAGCATACCTTTCGATCAAGTTCTAACTGGTGCCTCAACTGGAGTTTTTCCAGCTCCCGGGAAAACTGCTGGAGGAGAGCCTCGTACTCTTTGTCCAATGAAGTCTTGTGACCTTCCATCTCAACTCTGCATCTCTCTTCAAGCTAAAGGAACAGAAAATAGAAGAGTTGAAATTTAGAAAAAAACAGGAAATTGAAGTTAACTTGCTTTGACAAGAGAAGCTTGGTGCTCCCTGCGCATCCTCTTGTAGCCAGACATCTGTTCATGCAGCTCTTCCTGGCGATGCTCTTGGTGTTGCTTGTTGACTATGGACATCGTCCTGAGGGTGGCGAAGTTGTTACCAGTGGCTGGTGCAATGTTTCGCCCGTTGGCTCCGCCAACTGCTGCAGTGGCGCCTTGCATTTCACCACTGTTCGTGCTCACCGACCGACTCTGCCTCATTTGAGTTCCCTACGGTGGATCATTAAAATTTCATATAAGGAACACTTCGGAATAAAGAATGAGTAACAAGCAAACACTCACAGCAAGCCGGTTTTTGCTGATGTCCTCTGGTTGCAAAGAATTCGTGGAAGAGCTCTGGGAAGATGCTGATATGCCTGTAGATTGAATGCTGTGCTCAGACGTCAAACTGTTGCTCTTACTACTTCCATCTTCTAAAGCCACTTGATCATCGCCTAAACACAACAAAAAAATCATGAAAATACTGCTTGCAATGCACACCAGATAAGCTCACCATCCAAGTCGCCCAAATTTGACTCGGTCTCGGCAACTGAGTGTACGTCCACCATGAGGATCTTCTTCATCTTCTTGTAGTTCAGGTTATCCAGATCTCTCACCGCGACTTTGGTCCTCTGGATCAAGTCAAGAATCACTCCGGAGGAAGTCTGCCTAACAACTCCATTTCCATTCAGTGCACTTGTACTTCGAACACCACACGGAAATGGGTGAGACAACAATTCTGCGGCGGTCGGTCGATCAGCGGGATTCTTCCTCAGACACAATTCCACGAAAAGCCTGAAGTCGGTTGACCAATTCCCGGATGACAGAGTAGGACTTTCATTCTGTGCTATGTGGTAAAGCGCACTCATTGCATTCATATTGAAGTAAGGCGGCTTTCGCTCCGCTGAAAACGGCAAAAGAATCATCAGTTGAGTTTCAAAAGGAAAATTAAACGACAAGCACTCACCCAATTCAATGCAGGTAATGCCAAGAGACCAAACATCCACTTTCCCATCATACTGCCCCTCATCCATGGCTAAAATGACTTCAGGACTCATCCAATACGGGGTGCCCACGAAGCTGTTCGCCGGACACCTCATGGAAGCGCTTCCAAAATCAGCTGCACAACGAAAGGCCAATATTCTTACGCCTGGCCATCGAGATTCAACTTAGGTCACCTCACCTAGTTTGACAACCCCATTGTCAGTAAGTAGAATGTTGCCAGCCTTGATATCTCTATGAATGCGGTCATTAGCGTGAAGGTACTCCAGACCCAGCAATACATCATGGCAGATCGCGCTGATCTCCTCCTCCAACAGGGGGCACTTGTGCACCTCCAGGATATCACTTGCACTGCCCACACAGTACTCCATGACCAGCTGTAAAATAAAACATTATACGATCTGTGAGTTAAAAACTCCATGGACACATAACCTGCCAGTATAGTACAGTATAGTTGAACTTCAAGGGACCAGCAAGAAAATCGAGTTCGGGAGGTTTCCTGTTAAGGAAACAAGCATTTCGATGGGGAAAAGAAAAAAAATACAGGAAATCGTAATTGGTGATATTCTGGGGAAAAAATTGCTTACTGAATGAGTTGACAAGATGCTGAAGTTGAAGGCAAGGGTTGTTGTTCCATTTTTTCATTGCCTTCCAAAATGCATCAAGTTACATTTTCATCACTTTTCTCTTTCCTATGTTAGTAAAATAATAGCGAGAAGGCATCCAGAAAATTAAAATTACGGAGGTTTGAGGGGAGCCTTCGAGTTACGGAGTTCTTTAAAGCATCGCTTCTAAGGAAACGATTACAGAAGAAGAGCTCGAAGCATCCAACAACTGAGTCTGCTCACTGCCGTGAAAATAAACGTCTATAATATCATGTCAGATTTTGCAGGATGAAATTATTCAATTGTTGGATAACGCTTTGCACCGATTTCTTGACACGGTTTCGACACACACACACACATACAATGAGATGAGTGACATACCCAGACAGTTTGCTCCTTGAGGTAGCAGCCCTTGTAATTGACACAGTTGGGATGACTGAGTTGTCTGATGAACAATATCTCCTTCAAGATGTCTTGCCACTTCTCCATGGACTGCTTCCCCAGATATGACATCTTCTTGATGGCCACAATCTCTTTCGAGATCGCATTCTTGGCATAGTACACTGCCCCAAAGCTCCCATGCCCGATCTCCCTCAAGTCTTCGAAGATCTTTTCTGGATCATCCTGGTCGAACAGCTCTGCGACCCTTGGGTCTTTCAGGCTGCCAGGGCTGCAACACACGCGAATAAAACCCCCCACGATTCGTACACAATAAAATAATACCAGAAATCACGTCAAACCTGCTATATTTTTTTCAGTGGATGCTGCGGAACATTGTTTCTCATCACCCTTCGGGGTTTAATCATTCCTTCTTTTTAAGAAAGAAGACGGACGACATTGTTTGTTTTGGTGATAGCAGTACGTTTGAGCGCGCGGCAAGAGGGCTAAGTCCTCGCACATGGTATGTAAACAACTACGTGCGAAGAGATGGGTAAGCGTCAACAGTTTCACGCTTGTCACACTCTCGCGACATGAAACGATGCTTTCAGCAAACTTTTCCTGGTGTTCAAAAGTTGGCTTCTCGAATTATAACCCTTTCACTGATGCAAAATCGTCAATTTTACGGGGTACTGAGAATAGTGTACGCTATTACCGGCGATAAGAAAATGTACAGGGGGAAGAGATGAACATTTTTATCTCATATGGACATTTTTGAATCCAAGACCTTCTTTTTCTCAGAAATCGTACAAATGCGTACCGTACTTGGAATCGTCACTGAGCCACTGTGCAATACAAAAAAATGCCAACATTTTGAATTCCAGTATACCCGTCAAAAAGCGACGAGATGAGCAAACATGAAGGCCGAAACAGTCTCGGCACAAATTCACTAGTTTATCACACGTGCCCTTCCTTCACTCCCTCTGAATTAATGAAATTACTCACACATCAAGCAGAAGAATTCGACAATGTAAATAGAAAGAGGTCACGATAAGCTTCAGAGTATCTTCACGCAAAATTTACATAGATGAACTTACCGTGGAACGTTTGGCATGGCTCCTGCAGGCAGCTCACACCGGAACCGGTATCGCCGCCATCACAGCACTTCCGGAAATTACCATCACAGATCGGAGGTTCGAGAACACTCCGCAAAGAAATTTCACTTCCCCTGCTTTTCAGAACCGAAAACGAAAATCACAAATTTCACACCTGCCGAGAGAGAGAGAGAGGAAAAACCCGTATTTAGATACCCCATCCGAATTTCCTTTTTCAATATATAGGACGAGAAAAAGTCAGACAAAGAGAAACCGTTTCATTTTTCTCGGGAACTTGGGGGAGAGAAAAAATCGCGCCTGGAGAGAAATGACTCAAACGCCGCGGCCATGACGGATTCCGATAACGTCATCCCCGATAACACACTTCCGGTCCACTTATCAAACACAGCTTCCTGCCAGATAAAACCTTCGGAAACCCACAAAAAACATCACAGACGCTTCAGCTCCCTAGCCTACCCGGTGCATTTCCTAACCCTCCAAAAACTATACCTTCTCGCATACCTTCCCAACAATCCCCCACCTCTGGATCACAAACTTTTTTTCCAAAACTCCCAGCTGCTGCTTTGCAAATTGCAAGTTCGCAAAGAAATGCCTCGGCAACCACATGCTTTAAAAAGCCATAACTCCAAAAAGACAGAACCCCATTTTCGAACTCGATTATCCAGCTCAAGCATCGCTTCTTCAATTCGGGGATAATGACAACATCGATCAATATCAGGGACGATCTGATAAGAAAAAATGTAGCAAAATGACTCGATAAACACATGCGTTCGCGGAAAAGAATACCGATTTCATCCAAATGTCGGAAGTCACGTCTTTAACAAACATTAAATTCAAAAACGAACAATCATCGCGGTGGTTTTTCTTCGTTGTTTTTCTTGTCCCAGGTGTTTAATTAATGAGTACAGGATATGCATTGAAAATTCTTAACGTGGTAATTGCTCTGTAGTCACTCAGCTAAGTTCTTCGAGATACGAACGAAACACTGATTCAAAATCTGATCGGAAAAAAGATAGCAAAATCACTCCATGAACATACGAATATTCAAGGAAATTATCACTTCATCCAGACGCTGGAATTCGCACCTCTGCAACACAAAACATTTAAAAACAGCAGCTGTTGCGACGAAGTTATCATACGCAATCCGTAAAAGCGTGATACAATTTGGTAATTGCTCAAAAATTATTCGGGTTAAGCTCTTCATTTTAGGAAAACGATAACAACATGGATTCGATGCATTGAACAATTTCAAAATGATGCAGCAAAATCACTCGATAAGCACACGGGTAACCAGGAAAATATTTCATCGAAGTCACATCTCTACATATTCAAGTTATTGCAACGGAGTTCGTCCCAAAAATTTAGGGGAAACAGGATATGTCTTATGAAATCTGTGAAAATACGGTATTGTAATAACGCAAAATCGCCTGGTCGTCATTCGGGATTCCATCAATCAATGGGAACGACAAGAACGATAATCCGATGCATGAACCAATTCCGACACAAGCATCAAATTTACTTGACAACACAAGCGTTCAAGAAATTAAGACCTTCATCCACACGTCAAGGACAACGTCTCTAATCAGAGAACAAATTTTCATTGGCTTATTGCAACGCTGCTTTTTTTCGTCTCAGGTTTCAGCAAAAAAAATTACGAGGTACATAGTAGTTACTTCCAAATCTTCAAGATTTCATCAATTCGGCGATACGACTGAAACATGCATTTCAGAGACATTCCGACAATCGAAAAAAACACATGTGCTCGGAGAGAGGAGTATTTCATTCAAAATCACAAATCCGAAAAGGAACAGTCATTGTACTGTTTTTTCCTTATCCAGATGGTTAGGAAAAAACAGGATATGTCTCATGGAATTCATAGAAACAATTAAATGCAGTAATTGCTCTGGTATTTACGAGTTGAATTTTCGATTCAAGAAAACGACTAAAAAATGTATCCAGTATCAAGGACAATATTCAAAAAAATTTAGCAAAGTAACTTGATAAACAGGAGTATCGAGTGACCCCTACATCCAGACGGCGAAAGTCACACCTCGAGTACATGATTGAATTATTGCAACAGAGTTTCTCTCATATGTTCTGGGAGAACAGGATATGTCCAATGGAATTCGTAAACCACGAATGCATTCGATCACTCTGCGGTCATTCAAGTTAAATTAGAAAATGATCAGGGAAATTCCAAAAACGTTACATCAAACAGGAATCAACGTGGTGGAAGCGGTTCTGAAAAAGTCAAAATCCGTCTTCTAACACCGGCAACATGAAAAATAGGACGAACATTACGCAGAGACGAAGTGACGGAAAAATACGTGAAAGTACAAAATCACGTTTGCCACTCAACCACACGCAAATATTTGAGATCAGGTTCGTTTTCACGGTCAATTTACAAATAAAAAGAGACAATTCTAGATGTTTTCTGGACACTTCAAGAAAACCGAATCCCTGGATACACTCGCAGACAGGAACTATCGCTTAGCAACAGAATCATGTCTTGGGGTAGAACTTGTGGCATGTTATCACTTATTTATTTTCTACTGTATTGTACTTGCGATAAAGATAATTTTACCGAAGGGAAAACGCGTACTGTGAACATTTGTCCACTCCATGGAATAGTGCTCTTACGGCATTGAAAAGTTTTGGGAGAATCGAAAAAAAAAATCCAGAACTTCATTCCACGCGGTTCTTTCCTATTCAGATAACAATGACTTCTTGAAAATCAATTTTCGTTACATGAAATACGGTAATTCAAATCATGGCTTAAAATAACCGTTCCTTCATCAAGGTGAAGTTCAATTAAAACTGAGATATCACATATATTCCTCGGTGATCGTAAATTTGAAATAGCTTCAATGCAAACACTACATATGACCGGGAAGATATTCAGGATGATGCCGAGTTGCTTGGGACAGGGATGGATTCTTGAAGTCTGCTTAATCCAACTGTTGACACAACGTCAAACAAAGAAAACACAGCTTCATCTTAGTACAGATGATACACTGCGTCGAGTTTTGATGAGTCATTTCAGTACAGTATCCCGATACCAACATTCTCCTATCGAAATAATGCGGTTGCATCCAGGACAGATGTTCAATCTCTTCACAAGTTAACCGAAATTCGAAAAAAGTGGCTTACGAATGCAGTGAAAAGTATGTATGATCTGAAGTCTAGATGTAATTTATGCCACTGCTGTCGTGAAAAGGCTTATTCCCAAACAAACGGCCACCAACCAGTGTTGATACAGTACTTCTTCCAGTTTTCGAACAGGGAATTGCATTAGTTACTGAAAATTGGCTGACTTTTTCAATATTAGACAAGTTCAATCCTTTTTTCAAACCGGAAGCTACAAAAATTCCGATAAAAGAGACTCCCGTATGAAACTTCCGCACGTCTTCGGATTCCTTACCGGGAGATGGAGTCTACAGTTACACGCTAATTGCATCCAGAGCAAGAAAAATGTCCATCATTCGGAATTTCCGAAGTACTCACGAATTAATGAGAAAGAAAAAGCATTTCTCGGTTCATCAAACACATTCCTACAATTTGAAATCCCGAAGCTGAATGAAGAGAAATCTGAGGTAAACGTGCTGCGAAGTATTACTTTTCAAAGTACGTTCAGTCCATACGAGAACAATTGACTCTGCAAAACCTGGCACTTTTCTCCAGACAACATTTTCAAGCATTCCAGATCCTTACCTGGCAGTGTACTGTTTCTGGTCTTAATCTATCCCAGGTGGAAAATGAACGAAGTCAGGTCCATTGGCACTTAAAACTACTCTTTAAATAAAATTCAACTTTGATTCTTGAAAGTTCCTTGTAAAGCTTAAAACCGTTCAGAATAAGCTTATAAGGAATGCCACAGAACCTGTCCAGAAGGAGAGGCAATGGCTTGAAAGAGACGATTTTTCTTCGGGAATCCGGACAATTATCTCCCAGTGGTGACACAGGAAACAAGCCTTCAAGGCACCGGGGATAGACCGACGAATTGCGAAATTTTCGCAGATTTTTCTTATTTCTTGCTTAACCCAGTTCAAACACCCGTGAGCCAATCACAATCCACTGAGTTAAGGCCAGCTGCAGTTTACATCCCTCAAGAAGTCCCTAAAGCCTATCACAGGATTCGGGTATCAACCCTTTCCCACCTCTGACTAGACAAAAATAGCGAGCCAAAACAAACAAACAAAAACCACAACTCATGGACTCGTTGCAGCGTCCGTGAGATCCATAGCATCACTGGTTTAGAAAACCGACTCGTGCGAACGGGACAAGTGTGTCGGGTACGATGGGCTACGAGCTGGTTTCTTTTTCGGCCAGTCTTTCAAGCGATTCAGCAAGGCGGCGAACTCAGGTCGCTCTTGGGGTCTGTAGGCCCAGCAGTCCATCAACACCTCCTGAAACAGCATCAAGGCTCATAAATAACTAGAAAAAAATCCCCTCGATCATGAAACACCGAAACGGTTTCTTATCTGGATTAAATCATCCTCACTGTCTTTAGTTCGGTCACTTGCCTCTGATCTAATTTGAATCGGAAGACAACTACCGTAGTCTCCCTCTCAAGTTTTGAAAGCTTGATGAGTGATTAGAACCGAGCGACGAATGGAGCATATTTGCGTAAATTTCAACTAACGTGAACTATGCCGAAGTAATCGCAATATGAGGAAATTTAAACAATACGAAGGAATTCACAGTATGAGGAAAAACGGTTCTTTTTTCTTAGAGCAACAAATTGCTAAAAACTAAGGAAACAGATAAGATATTCGTGATTATTTGGCCATGATTATGCACTTCCAAGAAACATACATGCTTCGCCAAAAATATGCATTCGGCCAGTACAGTATTAATTTTCCACACCGTATCAAATTGCGGAACTACCGAAATGCGGAACGTAATACTTTACAGTGGGTCTCAATCCCGACGCTTATACGCTTTATAAAATTATGATTTCATGAGGGAACGGATTTCTCTACAGAAAATTAAGTCCTTCAGAGCACCCACCAACGAACTGGCACAACTTGACCTGATGAAACCATGAATCTGATTATTTTGATACTGGCCATCTTGATACTGAACTCACTCTTTCAACATTTGTCTTCCCGATGTTCATCAAGTAAAATAACACAACATTTTCTCCAAATAAAAAATGTTTTCCGGCGCACTAACCTTGACTTCTCGCGAAGATTGCAGGTTTACCAAGGGGTCCTTGATCCCTTTCCCCACTTGCCAAATAATCGCTTCAGCAGGCTGACCAGCAAAGGGAAACTCGCAGCACAACAGCTCAAACCAAACAGTACCGAAAGCGTACATGTCGGACTCCTTCGAGAAAGGAATTGCACAAGGATCTTTGCCATCCTTGTGTCCACAGACGGGAGCAGACAAAGAGCCCACCCTGAGGTTCCTCACAATTTCAGGGGCGAGGTAGCAAAGCCAACCCTTTGGGATCACCAGGTGATCCCGGTATCTGAACTTGCAATGCTCGTCCCGACATGAAACCTACGAAGAATTCGAAACTTAGAAACAGCATTCGCAACGATCGGGGCAAGATTTCACCCAAAGCCCACGAAATAAATTTCGATGAAGCATACTTCATTATGAATGTGGTTCATAAAAATTATCAACAAAAGGCGCAAGGAAAAAAAACCACTTACAGTACAACACAGCTTGGCCACGGAAAACAGCCCGAAGTCAGTGATGACCACTTTTCCTCCTTCGAGGAAGATGTTCTTGGTCTTCAGATCCTTGTGGACTATTCCCCTGGCATGCAGATAACCCATTCCTTGCGAGATCTGCTGGGCAATGATGACCACCCTGCTCAAGGAAAACCTGTCTTTCATGATGTGGATGTGGGTGTAAAGAGTTCTTCCTTTGCAGAGAGAAGTTACGATGGCCAAGTCAGGCGGATTCATGCAAGCGCCCATAAAGAGAACCAGATTTTCATGTCTGGTTTTCCTGAATGTCCCAACCTGAGAAAAACAAAATTCATCATCAATCAGATCTAATCGGAAGTTTTACCGGGACTTGCCTCATTTCTAAATGCTTCAAGTGTTCTGTCTGCATCGACCTTGTCCACATTGAGCACCCTGATGGCAACATAACCGTGCCACTGACCTTTGAAAACTGACCCGAACCTTCCGGTGCCAATCCTGTCCAGCACTTGCAGTTCATGAAAAGGAATGTCCCACTCTCTCAAAGACAACTGTGAACAGTCGAAAATCCGTTCGTAAACGTAGGGAAAACTTGTTTGATTTTAGTGACGTCTTTTTTTCACAAAAAATAAAGCAAGATGATTTAAACCTGGTACGAAAGCTCACTCTCATATCGAGTTTCACCTCAAAAATAACATGAAATTGTGATCCAGACGATAGGACGAAAAAGTAGACCGATTTCTGAACAATGTCTCCTAAACCGTTGAAGCTATCATCACGAAAGGAGTAAAAAACGAGTTCATTCCATCACCTTTCCAATGCTCTCTGATTTCAGCTTGATCTCGGTCTACTTTTTTCGGTCCATAGGGTATTTCCAAACCAGACATGCGCATACTTACACTGTTTTGCCTGGGCCACGGTTTCTCATCCACACCACCTTCGGATGTCTGAGAATCCTGCGAGTCGAGTCTCACGGCTACTGTTCTCTCCGAATCGGTGGTAGAACCTTCCACAGATCCACTGGATCCATTCGTTCCCGATACTGACATCGTTCTTTCCGAATCGCTAGACCTACAGTCAAAGCAATCATAAACGCGTTGATATATCGTAGACACGCAGATTGCAAGACTTTGAAAATACTTTTGAGTCTCCGTCTTTTCCAAAATGCTGGGCTTGACAGAGTTCAGCGTAGAAACCGTCAAAGCGGATTCTTCCTTCTCAAGTTCCTTCACTGCAACTTGATGATCTGTAGCGAGGACGCCGTTGAGTTGATTTGCTTTTTCCGAAGCTGCCAGTTCCAACTTACCCGGGAAAAAGAACTGTTTTTGTCTGGACGCTGACGGAGGCGTGTTCACAGTGAGGATGATATTTGGACTAGAAGGTGTAGAACTGTTGCAGCTCGACGCGGTCGAACTTGAATCAGGCCCCTAAAATTCAAAACTTCTTTCAAGAAAATAATCTCCACAAGATTCTCCTCGTCAGACCTGAATTGCACTGATGGAGACAGAGTGAGGCCCACTATTTTTCTTTCTCCTAGACAAAGAAGCGTTTCCTGGAGATGGAATCAAATTGGCAGATCCATGCACAGGACTCATCCCAGAACGGTTCAAAATCGGAGACCCAGTCACAGTTTTGGCCACGATGTCGAAAATACCATCGGGAAGTCCGCAAGATGGTGGCACACTTGACATGCAGTCGTTGTGGCACTTGTACTTGCAATCCTTGCATCTCATTCCTGCGAGAAAGCGCATGAGTCGGAAAGTTAGTTCTTCTAGTTGAAGGGGTCCTTCAAGTAAAACCCCGCCTCGTTGTAAAATTTTCCTAAAGCTCTCGTAATAAAAATTGAATGAATACCTGCAGTCGAAATTTTGATCATCACATTCACGCTCAACCTGTCTTAAACTATTGAACAGGTGATGCCCGAATATGAAATTACTTCAAACATGGACAAACCTTTCCCAAATTATTCGGAAGCAATCGAACCAACATAAAATGACCAAACTTGAATTTAAAGAAAACGTAACATTATTCAAGCCATACCCATATAATGGCAAACAAAATCGAGACAACGGGAACATTCGATGCTCCAGCAGATTTTCTCAACACTAAATAATAATTGATTAATGCATTAATCCATTCGTACCATGCTGGTATTCTCAGCATCTTCAAAAAGTATAAAGGGAGTGTCATAAAAAATGCTTCATAAAAATTAATTTTCGACTAAACCCGACGCGGAGGGATATGAAAATACAATAGATCCGTGGTTTAAGAAAGTTGTCACGAAAATTGGGAGGGGGGAACCAACCGATGATCATCTGCTTCTGGCAATAGTCACAAGTTGTGACTCTGAAGGACTTGGTGAAACGATGCTTTATGACGTGACTCATGGAACCAATGCCAAGCCCTGGAAACGTGGGTGTGACAGGAGACCTTGGCACTTGAAGTGAAGTCACTCCATCTCCAGACGGTTCCCCAGGCGGTGACTTCAATGGCGGAGTAAAGGAAACATTCCCGGCATCCAACGTGTCAATCCCGCCGTCTGTTGGTAATCGATTCCTAAGACAAACAAGAGTCAGAAATGATGGAAACAAATGCGCGTCCCGGACATACAAAAGAAACCGACACCGAACAAAGTGCACTAAACTTTTCCACTTCCCGCTTTCAAAATAGAATACCTTAATTTAAAACAGGGATTTCCAGGTGAATGTCATTTCATTCCATAGACAACTCGCAGAATTAAATACAACGTCTCTGAGCGATTACACATTTAAAAAAAAAGATACATTGAGGTTGAGAGTCTTGAGGCATCGTTGACCATCAGACTCCATCTGTTCAAACGGGAAGTCTTTACTGATTAATTAGTTTTTGAGTCGATTTAGTCGTTTCATTAGCTGAAAAAAAGATATGTTTCTGACAGCATTGAAGACTTGTTTGTAGTTTCTGGGGGGTTTTGCTGTTCTTCCAGGCACCAGAAATTTAACGAACTCTCCAAATGACATTCGATATGATGGACATGGATTTAAATTCCTGAAGAATCAACGACTTCCAGATCATCAAATTAAACCAAACTACTCCCATATCCGTGAAAGCGAAGAATCAAGGGAGTCTAGACTCTAGAGCATGAGGACGGATTGTTTTTCCGACATGAAAATTACGAGAGTAACTGAGAACTAAACGCGAATAATTGTACACACCTCCCACTTGGATCTGTCGCTTTCACAGCTGAAACATCAATTTTGCTTCCAAGCTGGGACTCATGAGATTTAGACTTCGTCAAAGGAAACGAGTCGAGCTTTGGATCAACAACCACGTGTTGCATGTTGCACGGTAGACTGGCCAGCACAGGATCACACTTGTCAACCAGATGCACCCTTGACTTGTTGCTCTGGCCTAATTTATTCCTTTCTCCTAAAAAAAAAGCATAGCATCAGAAGCTAAATCACACACCATCTCACGGAAGACTGCCACGGTTAGAAAAATACAGTTCCATCAACGGTCGTAATCCGCTCCGCAATTCCATCAGTATGTCGGTTTACGAGTACAGTATTTCTCGTACATTCAATTCATCGGGAAATTGATCGTAACAACAACATAAAATCGACAGCTTTCGATCAAGAAAATTACTACTCATTTCAAAGGAATTCTCAAACAATCGCTTCACCGTTGAAAAAATGTTAATTCTCCTCTCGGGATTGCCTTCCCAAAAGTCACACAGAGATGAAAAATATTTACGACTGGATTTTCTGGAATACTCAAAAAATATTCAAAATTATCACGCATTAGAATGGAAAAACAACGATCTGGAAGTTGAGAACTGTACAATTACTCGGGAATCACGAGGACATAGAGAATGAAACAGTTCACTCGATTCTCAATTCTCATGCGCGAACAACTACTGTATCTTCAAAATCGAATATCCGAAGGAAGAATTCAAACGTCCAAAAAATCGATCCAATCGATTTTTTATGCGTGAATCTGGCAATATTCGTTGCTATGGCAGATTGATTTCAACAGACCGTAGAAGTCGACAGAACGGAGTGGAAATCTGACCGGCAGAACACCATTCAACAAATGAGTGACTGCACCAACGGATGTTAGAAAATTAATGAATAAACTCAAACTTTCTAAAAATGACTCGTTGCAGAAAAATTCTACGCAAAAATATTGTGGTTCGACGAGATTACTCCGGTATGCAATTTAGAACAAGAACAGTGCTCTCGCATGTGATCGACATAAACGGAAAAGAGGCTTCATGTCTTTAGTTCCGCCATTTCCTCTCCAGCTGAATCGAAGTTTGCTTCCTTCCGGAATCAAAGCATAAAAAAGGATATTCAAATCGAGAAATCGCAGTCCTCATAGAATCTTCAGCAATGCAAGTCCCCTTCGGCTTTACCAAAGAAATAGTGCTTTGCACATTTCGCACTTCAGACAGAAGTAGAGTTGATTGCAATTCAAACAGAATCGAGAACGAACAACTGGGCTTATTCCATGAAAAATGCACGCTGACGAGGGATTAAAAAATCGTTCATTTAGCCTGGAACAGACTCTGCAATGAACCCTTTTCCAACAATTCTTCAACGACACTGACACAATTGTATACAGTAGAAACCACTCCATGATGATAACATGCGTATACATTTTTAATACAGTACAATATAAGTTTAGTTCTTCCTCGTGGCAGATCGCACTTCCAAGAGAAGCGGTAAGTTTGCACACTCTTCGAAATACTGTACCAACGGACACGGTGATGCGGACTTACCAGGAACACGGGAACGAAGTTTGGTAGGCGGCGAAGGCGGAGGAGTTGGATGGAACAAGGTCGGACTCTGCATCGGCGATAACGACACCGACACCGCCGGCACGGACGGCGAGAAAACCGGCGGACTCTGCGGGCTGTGGTCGCTGTGCACGTCCCCACGCAGAGGCGACGTTCTCGGCAGCTCCTGCCGTCGATGGAAATGGCGTCCCCGATCAGCGCCAGCCAAAGATGACGACGACGATGATGAAGACGGCGAACTCCGGTCCCAGGAATCCCAATGCAATGGTGCTTCGTCCTCACGTTCCCCGTGCACCAGCGTCTCTGCAGAAAACGAACAACACACTTGAAACCACTGCTCGAGAAAACCGGGTAAAATCGACACCTTAAAAGGCGATGCTACGATTTGAATCACTCGACACTTTCCGCTGACGAAAACATGAATGTACAACTGGCATGTATCACTCAGCTTCGAAGAGCATCAGTACTAGTTCTGATGAAGTGCTTCGCAGGAGAATTTCTTTTGTTCCACTATATAAAGCCCTAAGAAGGCTTCGAGGCGAATTTCTTCGCGAATAATATAGTTCAGAAATTCCAAAGTTGTATAAAGAAGAGGATATCCAGTTCCAAGGAACACTTGGCTTTCTTGGTGAGCTTCAAATCTCCGGACCATATTCATACAGCTATGCATAAATATTGAGAATTCTGTTCTTGATTTCATAGATATTCAGCCCATAAATCGATCACACCTGCATAACCAGCATGATGTACCAGCGAGCAGATTAAATCGGTATTAAAGAAGGCTTGTAGTACTTTATGACTGTCAATTAAACCTGCCTACATCGAATAAATGAGTTTTTTTTACGTGCTAGAAAAGTCGAATAAAAGAACACATGCATTCCGAATTTTCAATCACTTCGGATCCACAAGAACATGCACAATTTTACCCATCCTTGTGAACGAGTAGCCATCCAACGAATTCACTTATGCATCAGTTGCTTATCTGCAGAACCACTGGATTCAGGCTCTTATCTGTGATTCAAATTTCCAGCTTATTTTGCACTCCGAGAAGGCCCAATGCTCTAATGATATACACGCCAACGCAAATTTTTCGCGTATTACCGATTCTTTGAATCACTCGAAGAAGATGAAGTACTTAGGTAATAAATGTTTCCCCCAAAATCGGAGCTCTTTTGCATTTGCTCTCTGAATCAGGCACGGAGAGGAAATTTCTTCATTTTAAACTTCACTTTTTTCGTGAATGAAAGTGAAAAACAAATCTGCCTTCACTACTCGGTAAATCAAACAGTTCCGAATTCCCGCGGTTCCGTGCTTTGGAGTGTATCGGTAAAACCGACGCGGCTCGATGAACATTTCACGGCAGATGGCACAGTGCACCGAAACCTCTGAAAGATCAGAACTTCATGCTGAAAAGCACCTGTATATCGACGCAGATTTTTCAGGGCAGCGACTAGACGCCGCGTGTCCTCCGAAGACGCCCCAAGCTCCTTCAGACTCGCTCGAACGTCCGAATCCGTCCGAGACATCATGGCCTCCAACGTACTGACTCTCGCACATATTCCCTAGAAAAGCAACTTTTTATAATTTCCAAGAGCCGAAACTGAGCTCAAATCCAGGTTTCGAACGTTCCAAGATTTCATCGAGCAGTTTCTTGTAAAAGATCTGAATCCGCACGCATAAAATAGGGCAAGTTTGCGCTCAACCTTTGCAGTTCGAGTTGGAAGCGGGAAAGTCTAGGAACTCTGGGTCCAACTTTTTAAATACTCTCCATCAATACAAGGAAGGTCGCTGAAACAGTCAGCTTCACTACAGGTTGGCTAAATTTACAGAGCTCATCACGTAATAAAAGTTTTACAAAAGGACTGAGATGAAAACAGGACGAATTATCGCAGAATTTTCAACCACCTCTTCAGGCTGGTAGCCGTAGTAGACCGTACTATTTTTGCATGATGTCTAATGATCGCAAAAAATTGTTCAACGTTTTCGAAACCACTACGAACTCCCCTGATGTATGTTGATCATCGAATAAAGGGCGAACAGGATGAATATCGAAAATTTACACCACTTATTTCAAAAGACAGCCGAAGTATGCAGAACATAGCACTCGCGAAATGCCGAAGGTGTTCTGAAAGCACTTATACAGTACTCATTAGTTCAACCTTCAACAATGAAGGCACTGCTTAGTTATTCCGCGTGGGATTCAAGCATATCCAAAACACGGATATACTCACTTGGCACACATCATCAGACAGGCCAACGACAGATAACCAAAGGCCAAGTGCGTGTCGATTGCTCTCCTCGAACTCCGTTCCAAGTTGGAACAATAGTTTCCACAGGATCATTACACGGCTGAAGAGCTTGATTAGCTTCCCCTACGATTAAACGATGAACGAAAAAAAACGATTGAACGTTCATAGATCATCTCCGATTCGATCACAATTCTCTCAACATGTAATACTATTTCGGGTCATCGGGATAATTACAAGACTATTCCAGCGCAAGCCCTACAGATTGCAGACGGGCCGCACGAACATAGCTTGAATCTGAGGGGAAAGAAGATACCCAGTGACAGGTCACTGGCTTTCTCGCGGCGGACAGTATTTCTAAGATTTCCACAACATCTTCACATATGCTAGACATGAGGTTCTCGAAAATTTTTCCGCGAAAATTATACTGAAGACAACTTCCAGAAAATTATTTATGCGTCATCTTGGGGTTTCGTGTCCTGAGTTATCACAATACGTTCCCAACATTTATTATTTGGCCCTCATCAACACTTCTATTACTGTACTGTACATCACATATTTCCTGAATTCGATTCTACACCATTATTTGCCAGGGATGGCCCTGAGGAGACTGGCAAGAACTGGCGGAGCCCGATGGACTCCGCGGGACAACGTTTGACAACGAACTAGCACAACCATTCGGAACATCAGCTTGTGAAACAACAATGCTATTGCTTTGAATGAGGAAGTTCACCTCCAGAGTGCGGATTTCCTGTTGGATGAGATCGGCGGTCGTGGCGCACTCGGTTCTCAGGCAGATGAGGGTATCGGCGGAGATCTTGATCATGGACATGAGAGAATTGAGCTCACTCGTTATTTCGCAAGCAGGTTCGGGCTCGTCGTCCCGATGGGGAGGCTTCCCCATCGACGTTTTCCTCATTGCCAACGCGACGACAACAGCGGGCGAGACACGACCTGGTCTTCCAACCCGCTATCCACTCGCATCACGGTTATCCTGACAGATCTTTTCATTCGCATCAGTTTTTCTAAAGGAGAACGAGCTATGTGTCCACAACTGAAGCATGGAGTTCCGCAGCTCATTTTAGCAGGGCAACGTTTTGGAGGGTACAAGACAAATCTCCGCAGAATGCCTGTAATCCACGCTGTTGACAGGACATTAACGAGAAGATGTGGCGATCTTTCTTGCTTCTCTTCAGCTTGATGAATGAACGCGTGTTCCAGCGTTTCTACTTCATGCGAAATGTAGCTCAACTATTGAAGCGACTCCACTCGATCTTGAGAATCACTCCCGTTTGGAAGTCGGAACAATCAGTGAGATTTCACCGCTAATGCTGTTGTCTAACGTCACGATCATCGTGAAAACGAGCACATCATCGACGAAATTCAAGCCTTCACAACGACCACAGAATCGAAGGTTCACTCCTCATTCCCTCGAAAGTGACCACACGTACCACGAAAATTCCACACTCCTTCGAGACAAATACAGAAATTTTGACGTTCGCTTCAAGTACTGGTCACCTTGACCATTCACACATAATTTTGCATTCAACGATCGGAATGATCCGCTCCGCGACAATGAGAGCATCTCGAATTTCCAAGATGTCCACGATGGCGGTGATGTATCATAGCGAGGAAGGACACACCGTTTATGTACAAAAGGTGACTTTCGGAGCACCATTTAAAACGTTTATCGAGTAAAAATTGAACAAAAAAGGTCAAAAAGTTGTTTTAAATTTCAATTATTGCTACTTTTTTAGATGTAAATGATGTTTTCTACAAAATGTTTGAATACGTTATGCACCAGTTCTAGTAGAGCAGAAGGGACTCCCATCAAACCGAGCTGTGGACAGATTAACGTACAGATCAGCTACAAAATATCGGACCATTCCCTTGTTCCTAAGAGATAACAGAACATTACCTTAACGTCAAGCAGTCTGTGTATTCAGTTCATTGTAAGAGGAAACGAAGATATTAAGGTACTTATTCGAAATGAAAGGTGCAGTACTTACCGATCCATTATCAAAGAAGCAATGCTTTATAGAACGCATTTGAGTTGCTGTCTACATAAATTATTGAAATTTCCCACCTCCGCATTGGTTAACTCCGCTACACGGAAGGGTTGGTGTTGCAAATGTTCCCCGCCTATATGCTCTCATGGATTGCCTGCTCAATGTGATGCATTGTGTGCATGGATCAACATTTACCAGGCACTCCTGATTTGGAGCTTGTGAAATATTCAATTCTAGCGAGGTTAGCAGAGCAGGAAGAATTCTAGTTGAGACACCCTGAGCTCGGCAAATCTCGTCTTTCTTTCTCACGTAAATAACAAAAAAAAAGTAAATGCAAAAATGGGTTTATTTCCTCTCCAACAACAATCATGATAAACAGGGAAAAGCGCACTTGAGTAAAATAAATCTTCCCGCACAGCTCAGCCTCACAACTCAGTGCTCAACTCCTGACTGGATGCACCTTGGACTTGGCCCGCAGCTGCTGCAGGCACTCCAATACTAGCACACAGGCTTTGGTTCACATAGTCACTACTCTGAAATGTACACATTTGAATCAGTGGTAATCATCTCTGAGACTCAGAAAAAAACTCAAAACATACTTTGTAGTACTGAGAATTTCTGGGTTGGGGTACAGGCATTCTGCTCGCCACATACCCAGGATTGATACCTCTGTAACCAACATCCTTTCTCATGGTTTGTTGAGTGTACACAGGGCTATAATGAGGCACTTCTCCAAATCTCGGATAATACTGGAAATACGGGTGTGGGGGAAGGTTCTGGTAGTTGGGGCTTACTGGGTCCCCAGGGTTAGGCTGAAACTGCCGATAAGGCAACTCGTACGGCAACGCAGGGTTCGGTCTCACAGGGGTCATTGGTCTCATTGGCCTTGGTGTAGCCCACTGGCCTTGATTCAAGACTGGAGTTGAAGTCCTATATCCCATGGTCCTGCAATCCAAACAAAAACCCTTGCTGTGATACCATTCCCTCCACTATAG